GTGGCAGAGCCACTGCAGCCCTTGAGGTTGCTTTTCACGGCTGGAAAAGCCAGTTTTCCCTGGAGGAATGGCTCCTCCAGCAGCCAAACCTCTCGCACCCCTTTATTTTCCGCACCCATAAATATCTCACGGAGCTGCTTCTTTTCAAAATGAATCTTTTGAAACTTGGGCAGTTTTTAAATACGTGCAATCGCGTCTTAATGAGCTTTTGTAGTGCTTTTGAAATAAGGACTGGAGATAGCTAACGTGTGACCAGTGCATCGGCTGGTGGTGAGACAGGCTTTGAAGGAGACTGAAAATCTTTTATTCGATTGACTCATGCAGCCCATAAAGCAAAGCCCAGTTCCCCTCGCCCCCGGGGCTGTCGGATGCCGAGCAGCTGCAAACAGCTGCTTGAATTAAACTTCGTTTTTTTGGAGCAGCAGTTTGGTTTCTGGTGCCCCAGGAGCAGGCAGGGAGCAGATAGGGGTGATGAGATGGGATGGAGATGGGACCAACGAGGGGCACGAAGCCCCTTCCCTTCCCACATTCCCAGACCCTGCGGTCCTGTGATGTGTTTCATGAGCCTCCCAGAAATCAGGAAAATCCCTTTTTTTCCTCTCTTTTTCCTTTTTTCCATGCCTCTCACAAAGCTTCTCCCCCTTTGCAGGACCCGACGGTGTTCATGAACAGCAACGCTCCCCCGGTGAGTGGTGCCAGCCCCGGAGAAGCCAGGTCAGGGTGTATTTGGGTGCAGGGAGTCCTTCTTTTGGGGGTGTCCAGAGATCCTCATTTGCTTTGGCATGGACAGATGATAAATATTTATATCGGTGCCCCTCGCGTCGGGAAAATTAACCTGCAAATGTTAATGGGGTGAAATACCGGTGGTGCGGAGCTCCCCACCAGAAGCCCCGGGAGGGGATGGCGATGCCTCCCCCCTCTTCGCTGCCTCCAGCCAGGACTTTGTGCCTCTCATTTGCTGTTTCTTCCCCCTGCAGCTGCTCCCGGAGAAGGAGACGGATTACAGTGAGTGCCCACAGCTGCCCGGGGTGCGGGGCTGCCTGCGGCCCCCACCCAGAAGCACCCGCTTTGGGGATGCAAGCGGGGAGCCCTGCGCTGAGCTGCGAGGAGCCTCGGGGCTGTATCCCTCCTGGCTTTGGGATCCTCCATCAAAAAAAATCCCAGATCATGGGGAGCAGCTTTGTCTGCCTGTGCGGGGGTCTGCCTGTCCCGATCATGGGGGTCCAAGGGGGTCTGATCCTGCGAGGGGGTGGCACAGCTGGGGTGGGTCAGGGTGTTCAGCCGCAGTGGGACACGCTGCTGCAGGGTGGTGCGGGACGTGGCAGGGGTCCCAGGGGGCTTGGAGCCTGCCCCCACGTCCGTGGGGGGCGCTGGGG